CCCCAAAACCCCAAAACCCCAAAACCCCAAAACCCCGAATTCTCATTAATTTTAAATAATATCGCCTATTAATATTAAAACAATGGCACAGGATAAGCTTGAAAATTTCGAAGAAATATGCATGCTTGGAGAGGGCTCCTTTGGTACCGTCTTCAAGGTTAAAGACAAGAAGACAGGGGATATTTATGTCCTCAAAAAGGTCAGCACCAAAGATATGGATGAAGAGGATATTCAAGATGCTCAACAGGAATTTATGATACACAAAACAATAAAAAGCGACTACATTGTAAAATACGAAAGCCACTTTGAAGATCAAGGATTTATCTGAATATTACTTGAATACATGGATAATGGAGACGTTGGCCAATATTTGAAATGGTATTCCTCAGAGCAGCTGTTACCAGAGCCAAAAGTATGGCAGATATTCATCCAAGTTTGCCTTGGAGTTCAATATCTTCACACTCGCAAAATTCTACATAGAGATCTCAAAACTATAAATCTCTTCCTGAACAAAGATATGACCTTGAAAATCGGAGATCTAGGTGTTGCAAAAGAAGTAAAAGAAGCCTTCACAGAAACAGTAGTTGGGACGCCTTACTATCTTTCCCCAGAACTTTGAGAAGAAAAGCCATATAACAATAAAAGCGACATATGGTCTCTTGGTTGTATCCTATATGAGCTTTGCACTCTAAAGCATCCATTTGATGCGAAGACTCAAGGTGGATTATTCCTCAAAATTATCAAAGGGAATTATTCTCCAATTTCTACTGCTTACTCTCCTGAAATATCAGAAATCATAGATAAATGCTTGCAGAAGAATTGCAAGGATAGACCAACCATCCAGGAAATTCTAGAAAACGAGAAGTTGATCGAAGAAGCCAACAATCTCTGAATAGTGATCCCAACAGAAGATGAGATAAAAGAAATGGTTGATGGTCAGAGAACTGATTTCCTTACTACCTACAAAAAGAAGAAAGGATCTCTGTTCAAGAACACTCTCAAGAAGAGGGTAGAAGCCAATCCTGACAAATATCGGACTGTCCAGGTAGTTGAAGCGAGGAATATCAAAAATGATCCTCCAGTGGAACCAAAAGCTAAGAAATTTTCTGGGTCTAAGAAGAAGCCCAAAAAGGAGGTTCATAGTATGGTTGTTGACCAAGAGAAATCTATTAAAAAACTCTCAAATACGAAGTCTAGAAGGAGTGGGGAGAAACCAGCAGTTTATAATAAGAAGTTTATTGTAGGAGGTAAAAACCGCCCAAGTTATAAAAAGTTATCCCCAAATGCAAAATTCCCTTCTTCTAAGTCGAAGGGTGAAGTACAAATTATAAAAAGAAATTCCGAAAATTCGAAAGAATCTAAAAACATGAAACCATCTGTTATCCCAAAGAGGCCTCTGAGCGGGAATAAGCCTTCTTACAATTATTCTAAGCCTCTGAGGCGTCCTCAGACTGCTGCCAACGGGAAAGGAGGAAAGTCCCAGCTTTCTCATAGAGAGAAGGAAGAAAAGAAAGTTGCTAAGAAAACAAAAGACAACACGAAATTTAAGCCAGCTCTCAAAAAACAGTTAACTAAAGATATTGAAGTCAAGAAAGATTACTCGAAGCTTGATATGAAATATAAAAATGCCAAAGCTCCTTCTGGAGTCATCAGTATCGAACTTTTCGATATGGATAACAGCAAAGAAAAAGACCAGCACCTAGACCAAGATGCAAAGAAAAAGCTCAGACCTTATGTAAAATGTAACAGCCAGTGCACAGAAGTGCCCAAATCAATGAAAGATAGCAAGAAAAAGGTAAATCGGATGAAAAAGTTGCACTCACACTCAGACTACGACAACAACCTCAAAATCCCTTTGAACCTGCTAGGTGATGATTTTTGCCCAAGAGATATTAAAGGTGAAGAGACTAAGAAACTCGAGGCACCCAAACCTGCACAAAAAGTGAATAAAACTTCAATGCTGATAGCCCAAGCTAAGGAAAGAAGGAGCTCAAAACTAGGAAAAAGTATTGATGTTGATTGAGCATCTCTGCTCAAGAGGGCTTCTAATAAAGATTGTTCAAATGATGAATTTGATACGAATCCTTTCGATGTAGTCAGCGATATTAGAAATAAAAAAGTTAGAAATACAGTTTGAGGTGCTAGAGAAGTAGGAGAGAAAGATACATCCTCATCTCACTCCCAGAACTCCTCATTCGAAGTGATCAATTCTGATGAAGGAGAGGAAACTAGTGAAGAAGATGTAAAAGATAACCCATTTGATTCCAAAGAAGAGAACTTCGATGAAGATAAGAATTACGTCGTTCCTCCATACGGAAATACAGGACTAGATGATATAAAAGAGGAGGAAGAAATCCCAGTCGCTCAAGACAAACCAGACGACAAAAATATGTCAAATATCTCCCACTCAGAGCTTCCCTCGAGCACCCTTGGAAGGTAAGTTGTCCAAAGTTAACATCATAGCAGTTACAACGCATCACTCGGCAGTACATTAAACGATACTAACATTCCCCCAACCTTGCCAAAACAAAAACTCGGAGTAACCACCAGCGACTAAACCCCCCACTCCATAATCTGTAAGAAATCAAAGATCTAGCCCCAGTGGCTAAATCTTCGAATGTTTCATTACAAGTCCATTGGAAATATCCTTCATGAATAAATTCGTTAATTTATAAATATTGCAATAACGTTTTGGGTCAAATTTGGCTGGGAGTATTGTACGGATGAGAGGGAAAATAAAGAGTTTTAAGCAGAGTTTAGATAAAGATATGTGGAATATGTAGGATTTGGATGAATTTTTCATATTTTGGAATACAATTAATTTATTAAGTCAAGGAAATGTTAGGTTGAGGGGTTTTGGGGTTTTGGGGTTTTGGGGTTTTGGGG